AGGCTTCTAAAGATCTTTGAGGAGTTTCTGCACTTGGGCAATCAGTTGGTTTAGACGGTGTGGTGGTCCAAATGTGTTCCCCAGAAGTCCTGTGTCTTAATCCTTGAAATCATAAGCCAATGGGATTGGGAGGTAGGGCCCTCGGAAGGTGTCTAGGGTCAGATGAGGTCATGATGGTGGGGCCCACGTGGGGGCATTAGTGGCTGTGAAGAAATGGGACATACTGGCTCTGTCCTGCCATGTGATGCCTTTCTCATGTCATGTCAGCACAGAGAACCTCCCTAGAGACCAGCGCCATGCGACTAAACATCCTAGCCCCCAGAACCGTGGGCTCTGTCAACCTCTGTTCTATACAAATCTCTCAGTCTATGATATTGCTATAGCAACAGAAAATGGACCAATATAGACATTCAACATCCCCAAGGACAAATTTTGAATTGTGTTTTCTCAGATGTCTTATGGTCCATCCCTCTATTCTCAAGAATTCTTCACTCTGCTTAGCTGCCTTGCGATTTTCCACACTGATATGAGTTCTGGCAGAGCTGCCTCTCCTAGTCTTGGGTTGCCAAGACCCCGAGGGCTCAGCTACATCCTATTGTTTCTTGTTCCTGGAATGATGGAGGGAGAGGCACCGTGGAACCCTCTGGCTGGTTTGGAACAGCAAACTTCATTCCGGGGGCCTTTGTTTCAGCTTGAAATATACCACAAATTAATTGGGCCGACGCAGGTAATTAAGACCGTCACTTGGATCGCGCGCCCTTCCTCTGAACAGATTCTCTAAGTTGCCAGGTCTAAGCTTGGTGTATTGAAATGTCAATGATTCATGACTTTAAAATGAATTTTTTTTCCTTTGAATGGAATTCAGTACTAAACAAAATGTTTAGACTGATTAGCACAAATGCTGCCGCCTCACCTACAGCTGCCTGTAGTAGCACATCATTTAGCATAAAATATAACCCGAGGAATTCCATGGAAGCTCTCATAGACACCTACTGCTGCTAATGACAAAGATTTCTGGTCTCTACTCTCAGATGGTCTGGTAGAAGAAAGAGAAATGTTCTGAGATACTTGCTCCAAAATACTTAAATATTTTTTGTCCCAATTGTTAAAATTGCCTCTGGAAGGCAGGAAGGTAAATGTACTGCTTTTAATTCGTCTTGGCCTGAAGTGAAATTCATACATATAAAGCTTTCTACAATTAAAATTGTAGAGAAACACCAATTACACAGCCATTGTTAATAAACTCCAGACCTCTATCACATGGAGTTGCAGCTGTGTTGATTAAACCTCCATGATTTTCCTGGATCAGAAACAACTTGAGACTCTCCTGATAAGTGCAGCTAGATAAAGAGTCTTATCTTATTGATAGGTTGCTGCTTCTCAAAAAATGATCGGTTTAAGTTCATCATATGATGTTGGTGATAGCAGAGACAGGGTCTTTACTCAAATGTCTACCTGGGTGCTTTCCAGGTAAGGCACCATTTTCTGTGAATTGAATATGTCCCCTCCAAAGCTCAGGTGTGGCCAATGGGATAGTCTTAAGAGGCAGGGCTTCAAGGGGGAAGAAGACATAAATGTGCCTCCCCCTGAATGGGAGTAAGGTCTTATTAAAAAAAAAAAAAGCTTTGGACTTCTTGCCCTTCTTCTGCCTTCAAAGATGTGGCATTTCTCTTGCAGCTCTTACCGGGTGACTGAATCTGCTGGTGTCTGGAGCTCGGGCTTCCTGGCCTCCAGAACTCTGAGTAAGGAAATGACTTTCTCTACAAATTTCCCTGTCTCAAGACTTGTGATACAGCAACCCAGAATGTACTGAGACAGAGACTGGAACCAGAGAAGTGGGTATTGCTGCAACACCCACCTAAAAAAGTAGAAGCTGCTTTGCAACAGGGAAGGGGTAGAGGCCCGCATGGTTCAGATAGCATGCTGGGAGAAGCTTGAGCTGCCGTGAACAGAGGAATTCTGAGGAATTCTAAGGGTGGGGAAAAGAGGGCAAGGACAGGGAAAGCCTCCTTCTCTCTGGAGGTTACTCAAGGGGTCGTGAACAGAAAGTTGGCAGATGTGTTCACCAAGGAAGAGTATTTTTACGTGGCCCCAGAGGGAAATGGAGAGCGAGGTCCGGGCACCTGGGGAAAGTTCTCACAGAGAACTTGGTGAGCTATGTCCACATCCTGGTACGTTGTGGAAAGTGGAATTTGACAGTGACAGGAGAATATTTGGCAGAAGAGCGCTCTATGAGGAAAGCAGAATGGAAAGGTGTGGGGAATTCTTAGACTGGCTGTGTAAAGAATAAAGGAGCCTATTTAGGAGAGGAAAGTAGGGGTGTGTCCAAGTGGCCCTTAGATCCGGAGTTTGGTAAGACTAGAGAGAAGCCAGGTGCAATTCATCAAGACTGCAGGAGAATGATCCCAAAGGCACACCTGAGATACTGGAGGCTGTTGGGCCCATCACAGGGCCAGAGCACTGGGGCCTTGAGGGCAATAGGGCTTGGAGGGAGGGGCCCACGGGACATGAGGGCTTACTTCCCAGGGCTGCTTCCAATCACTGATCCCTACATTCTGGCGCAGCTCTCCTTGGTCACACCACCTGTGGCTTAGGTGGGCTCACGCACAGTTTAGGTCACTGCTCTGGAGGAGCAGACTGTGAACCTTGGCAGAGGTCCCATGGTGCTAATTCTGCAGGTATTTGGAGTGTGTGCTGTGGGCACATGACTACCTCCACCAAGATTCCCTTTCTTTCCTTTTTGCTCTTTATGTGCTACTGGAGATAGAACCCAGGGCCCACTACCACTCAGCAACACTCCCAGTCCTTTTTTAAAAAGTTTATTTTTGAAACAGACTTTCCCAGGCTGCACTTAATCTTGCAATCCTCCTGTCTCAGCCTCCTGAGTAGCTGGGATTAGAGGCGTGCACCACTAGGACCCATTCCATTAAGATTTCAAAGAATGTTACAGATAGCCCTGGGACCCAGGTAGAGACTTGATTCAGTGCCACTGCAGAGAGCTCCTACAAAGAACATGCATTGTGGAATTGTGAGGGCAAGGCCTCCCCAAAGACCTCAGATCCAGAGCCACCAGCAGGCAATGCCATTCTGGCAGTCATAGGTAGTCCATCCACTCCAACCTGTGGGAGCTGCAGAATGGGCTGTACCCAGCAAAGTTATCAGAGTAGGGTCCACTGGGGCTGTAGGGGCCCAACCTTCACTCTAGTATGTCAGGATGTGGGACACAGAGTCAAAGAAAATTATTCACAAGCTTTCAGATGTAATGCTGTTTGTCTGATTGGGCTTCGGACTAACTTTGGATCCATTATCCCTTTCTTTTTTTCCTACATCTCCATTTTGGAATGAAATGTGGGTCTGGTGCCTGAACCATCACTGTATTTAGGAAGGCTCTAACTTGTTTGATTTCATGAGCTAACTGCTGGAAAATACTGTTTTTAATAGCTGAAAAACTCAGGATGAATTGTACTTTGAGTCTTAGTCTGATTAAGATGAGATCATGGACTTCAGACTTTTGAGTTGGGGCTGGCATGAGTTGAATCTTTTCTGTCTCTTGGGATGGAGTTCATGCATTTTTTGTGTGAGAAGGACATGGAGTTTTTGGGGGGTGGGGGGCAGGGGAAGAGTCAGAGTTGGAATGCTATGGCTTGACTGTGTCCCTTCCAAAATCCAGTTGGTACAAATGCGATGCTATTGGAAGGTAGAGCTGTTAAGAGGTAATTAAACCATGGGGACTCCTCCTGTGTAAATGAGATTAAGGTCCTTAGAAAAGAGATTTCACACAGCATTGGAATCTCTTGCCCTTCTTCCTTCTACCATGTGAGGACATGGTGTTCCTCCTCTCTGGAGGATGCAGCCCTCACCCAATACCTTGATTATGGACTTACCAGCATCCAGAACTGTGAAAACATAAATTCCAGTTCTTTATAAGATACCCACACTCAGGTATTCTGTTATAGTAAGATAAAATGGGTCAAGATGGCATTTAACCTCTCTGATCCTTAGTTTCTTGCTTCGTCAGATAAAGGAGATGCTATCTACTTTGCTTTTATTATGAAGTTTAATGAACATATTTATGAGAAAACAAGCACAGAACCCAATTCATAACAATTTTCAGAAAGCAAGAGTGAATTTATCCTAAACATTTCAATAAAGTCAGTAGAGTGATAGGGTTTTTTTTTTTTTTTTTTCTTTTCCTCTTGAACTCTCTTGCTATTGAAACATACTGGTCATTGATGCCATTGAAGTGTCTTAAACAATTTTCTAGTGAACATAGCTGGTACATAAAGTACATTATATTTTAGTGCTCAGTTTCCCACAAGCAACCAGGGGACACAGCTCTGCATGCAGAGAGGGCAGCCCTGCCATGGGCCGATGAGCCGGCACCGCGAGGCCGGGTGCCTGGTCTGTCTATGTCTCAGCGTCAGACCAGGAGAGAGGAAGTGCACAGCTCTCTGTGGTGTCTCTCAAGCTGGGGGCCAGCAGCTGGAGACCCATCCGTGGCAGATGATCAGCTGCTTTAGCAGCTAATTAGTGAGAGGGGTTACACATGACATTTGCAAAGTTCCTAAGTGAGCAGTGCTTGGTGAGAAGCTGAATAACATCCTTACGCTATCTGTCACATCGTTTATGTTCACGTCTCTTGGCCTGGTCTCAGCACACTGCATAAATCTACAGCTGCAGAAACCAAACTCTCATATAAAACTGAAGGATTTATTTTGAGGTATTGAAAGCTTTATAGCTGAAAAAGTTAAAATTTGCCGAATCGGCATTTGGAGGACTCTCCTTTCTGCCTTACCCCTCTTGGCTCTCCAGCCCTGTTCTCTGAATTCCTATCTCCACAGGGAGACCAGGTTGCCAGGGGAAAACAGTGACATGGATGGAAATGGACAGACTTTACCTACTCTTTGCCTTTGTGGCTTCGTATTTCAACCTGAGTAGCCCTTGAAAGCTGTCGTCGTGATACAGAGACACGTACACAAGAAACATAAAACAATCATGCAGTTCTGTTCTGGTGCCCGACTGCATCTGGACTGCGGGAACCACCATCGGTTTTCAGTACATATTTTAGAGCACAGTGGTAAGTTTTCAGAGCTTACATCCTGCATCTTTACTGCTTTGGTGGGAATCAGTGGGAAGCTGGCTTAAGTGATTAGTTCTTGCATAAAATAAAAATCAGAGTTATCACTGCTGTGTTGGATCTAGTGCTCAGTGTTTCCTCCTCTGGATCCTGGGGCCTTTCCCTAGTGACCTCCTGGATTTCCAGCTTGTGGTTTGGTTCATTGGTTGTGTAAGCTAAGTAGGAGAGCTCTCCCAATCTTAGAATGCGTGTCCATGGACTGAGCCTCAAGGTTTAGAAAACAAAAGAATGAAATGCCTATGTGATATGCCACTGAGATACAGGAAAGCCGAGTGACATATTGGAAAGCAAGTGGGTAGAAATCAGAAGTCTCCAGATCTGAGATGGGTTCATTGATTTGTTCTACCAGCATCATGGGGAAGAAATACTGGCCTCCATCATTTCATCCGTAAGGGGTAAAATGACAAGTCTGTAGATTAATAGTTACGCATGCCTTACCTATCTTCCAGGGGTTTGGTGGGAAATGAGTGATGCGGTATGTATGGTCTTAGAAGCCATAAAGATCTCTAAAGATGTTGGGCGTGATGACTCAGAGACAGTCCTTCGGGTCAGCTCCTGATGCTCTTTTTGTCCTTGGTCCCCTCCCTCAAATCAGGAATCATCCCTTCTTTCTTTTGTCAAACCATGAGCTGTAAGAGTATCCTTGCAGAAAGGCTGTTGGAGCTCCTTTGGCCAGTACTATCTTTCTTATAGGTTTCTGCCACAATTATAGTACTTCTTGGGAGCCTATTTTCACAGAAATAATTCCAGAGGTGTTTGTGTTGGATTGGCCCTGACCCCAGAGTACAGTAGTAGCTGGTTCTGACAAATGGAAAAGACCTTTAATCTGCAAATGAAAAGTCTAAAACTGGTCCCTGGCTGCTCCCCCTACTCTGGTGGTCTCTTCTGGGAATGGGCCCACTTTTTAGTTGAAATGTAACATTTTGAGCTCCTCTACAGAATAAGCAATAGCTGAACTGTGCAGTTGCTAAGGAATTGGAGGATCGCTCCTACTGTTTTGAAGGCTCACATGTCTGAATTCTGCAAGGGACTTGGTACTCTGTGAAATCTCCCTTATCCTGGGAGAAGAGAACCCCTTTCTACCTCTCTCTGCCCACTGCCAGTTTCAACAGCTGTAACCATTTCAATTTTAATTTTCTCCTTGCAGCCTAGTCTCTGCTTAATCCATTAAGACAACGTTGAATGTTCCCGGCTCATATATTTATAAAGGGGGAAAAAAGAAGGGAAAAGACTTTGAAAAATGGTATCTAAATTGTAGCCAAATGGACTCAGAACGCTCCTAGGTTAAATTGCAAAATAATTTTCTTTCAAACATCACAAACACCCTCTCTAACTGAACTCAACAAATTGGACTGAGGGGTTTCGTGGCTCTCAGAAACATGATTCATTTCTGTTTTTTTCCCCCTCTCTGTTCTGTTCTCATCCCCCCAACCCGTCACACACACACACACACACACACACACACACACACACACACTTTCTCTCCAGAAATGTTCTTTTGGTTGATTTTTAGTCACACTGCATTGTCTCCAGGGCTCCTTCCTGAAGCTTCCATGAATAATTTGTCTGTCTGTTGAGTGAACCATCTTGGGGACCAGCTCCAACTTCACTGTGCTGGGAGATGGAGGAGGGGAGGAGGAGGGACGGCTGCTTTAAATCAATCAGTTGACACTAATCTAATGTCTAATTAGCTCTGGGTGGGTGTGTGCTTTGATTATAGGAAGTGCCTCAGGCAGGGGCTGGCGTTTGAAGGGCTGCTCCGCGCCTATCAATCATCCTTTGACAAGATCTGGAAGGGAAAAAACCAGGAGAGGGGTATGTTTTTTTGTATCGTCTGTTGATGATCTGTTTCCAGTGGACCAGACCAATGCTTTCCAACTCGAGCCTTTGCTTCTAGCAATGAGTGCCTGACCACAGGGCCAGGCAAACTCTCTGAAGTCAGCTAAAACTGTCCTTGTATCAAATAATTACTTCCTGTGTCCCAAAATACCGAACCCTCTCCAATAGCAGTTATATGTTTCCTTGTTCGTTTTCAATCTAAAATAAATGTGGAAGCTCTACTTTTCAATATTCAGCTAAACCCCTCCCCCCCAAAAAGACTATTCAATATTATGGAATTGCTCCTGAGAACAGTTTATGTTAAATGGTAGGTGTTGAACAGTGAGATAAAAGCTTTAAATAAAATGGGACTCATCAAAAATGACATGTGTATGATTATTTTCTGGTTGTCTGTTTTTTTTTTCTTTCTGTACTTAAATTTACTCTTTTGGGGGACAGGTGGTTTACAACTTTTCCTAGAACTGTCCTTGGCAAATTTAAGCACCACCACCACTGTTTATTTCTAGAAGGGAGGTAGAAGGCTACTCTTGCTCATTTGCTTTTCTAAAATCTGCTTTTCCATAGCCTGGACCAAAAATTAAGGAATGATGTTTAGATCAGAATTAGTAAGGAAGTTGGGGTGTCCTCCAGTCTTTATAATGAAGAAGCACAAATGTAAATGAGAGGTTAATTTTCTTCTTGGGCTTATCGATCTTAAGATGGAAAGCGGTTTGTTGTGGTGTAAAATCCTGTGTGGTTTTTTTTTTTTTTTTTAATATACTCGACTTGCTTTTCTCTGTCTTTATTTTTCTAATGATTACAAGATGTTCAATCTGTTAGACACAGGAAAGTGGGGTGATAGTAAAAGCCGCACTTAAAGAGGTTTTTGTGCAAAGTCAGGTATAAGATATGATCTGAGGCTGTGCAGAGGACCTATGAGACCCAACTTCTGGCCATTCTCCTCACCAGCTGTGTGACCTCAGGCAAGGTACTTAACCTTAGTGAGCCTCACCTGGAAAACAGAAACCATGACAGTGCCTACTTTGCAGGGTGATTATGAAAATCAAATAATATGATGCATGTAAAGTGTTTAGCACATGGAAAGCACTCAATAAAATGCTCATTGTTGCTGCTGGTGTAAATAAGTGAGTAATTCCCCAACAGCCCTGGCTGAGTTTAACAATCCACAGAAGTCGAGTCTCTGATTGGAGGCAGAGACTGAAATAGGAGGGATACTTACTTATTTGTTGTACGAGGACCAAGCATGGGTGCTTGCACCAGCCCTTCCAACACAAGCCTAGTGAGCTCATTGGGCATCATGGTATTGGGTAGAAAATGAAACATTTAAGGTCACTGACCCATTACGAGTTAAGGTGTTTCTTTGGAATTCTCAGAAAACTAAACTTTTTTTTTTTTTAATGTGAAAAAAAAATCTCTTTTGACAACTGTGGAAGGAAATTTACATTGGAATGATCAGTGATGTACTCTGATCCCCAATATCATCAAGAAAATGCTTGCCTTTCTTTATGCAAGACAGAAATAAAGAAAACAAAGATGTATGTATTGCACAACACTCTAGCTCTCTTTTGGACCCTAATTGAATGCTTTCATGTTTTGTCAAAAAATTTTGATAAATGTGAAACGTAAATTACCAAACTGTATAATGTTCTTTTAAATTGTTTCATTCATTCTTCTTCAACTTGTTTTTTTTTTTTCTTGTACTGAGAATTGAACCCAGGGGTGCTTAACCACTGAGCCACATCCTCAGCCCTTTTAAAATAGTTTATTTAGAGACAGGTTCTGGTTGAGTTGCTAAGTGCCTCGATAAGTTGCTGAGGCTGGCTTTGAACTCGCAACCGTCTTGCTTCAGCCTCCCCAAGCCACTGGGATTGCAGGTGTGTGTCACCATGCCTGGCTCGTTTCATTCTTATTCATGAGATTCCTTTCAGAGGTTTTGGCATTAGTAAGAAAGCATATTCCTTTTAGTATAAATTATTCATATGAACTTTTTTTTTTCAAATGCTGAAAAAATAAGAATATCACGAAAGCCATCAATCCTGATTTCTTCCCTCAAAGCAAGGTGTTTCGTCAGCCATCAGTGATAAGCTCAGTGAGGAAGTTATCAGAAGCGTGAACTTCTAGCTTTGTGTATTCAGTTTCCTCACCCCAAACCTGTCCAGGTCCCTCACTCGGAACACATTTTGAAAAGAACAGTTAGAGATAGTAAAAATAAACTGGAATTTGAGAGAGATCCCACTTCATTACTTTCAATGACTTAATGGCAATTTAAAGGAGAATAGTAGGTGACTGTGGATAAGAGATCATGCCCTCTCTAAATACTACAAGAACAGATACAATCATGCCTAATTATCATATTATGTAATGAATATTTTAAGATCTGGGTGCAAGGGTTTTTTTATTTAATAATATTTCATTGATTTAGTATATCTCTTTATGATTTTTTTTCGAGCTAATGAAAATGAAATAAAGAAGTGAGTAGTCAAATAGATCCTCAGGCCAATCTGGGTCACATGTACATGAAAATCTGAATTAGCTCTCAGGAGAGTGTTGTTCTGCTTTCGGTCTTATCTTTACAAGTAATCGAAATCCCCCAATCTACACATAAATATCAGAGAGGAAAAGAACAGCCCCAGCCTTCCAAACACTCACATCACCTTTTGTTTTGATAAACTCTGATAGAAAAATCCCAGCTGAAATTCAGACAACAATCCAAGAAGCAGGATAGAGGAAGCAAGATTATATTGCTTTCCTCTGGTCAGGTGCATAAGATGCATTGAACGTGATAAATAGTTCTGCTACTGTGGGAACAGGGTCTGAAGCTGCGGTGGGAGGGATTTTGTCTAGACTGTAGCAAACGCTCTGTAGCCATAGAGTTAAGTGTCATGGGGAAGCAGGGCTGCCCAACTTCCTGCTGTGGGGATTTTATAATAAGAGCCAGGCCGGTGTCATTTCACACAAGACCTGCCCGGAGGTAGGGGAATGGATAAAATGACCTTTCCTGCCTCCTCCAAGGGCTATAACTGGTCCTTAATGAAAACCTGGTACCAAGAGCTAGTTTGGTATGGAACAATGCTTTTAAGGCCAAAGTTTAATTTCATAAC